AAGAATGGTCAAAGGATTCGAACCTGATTTCACAACAAATAGGGGAATTAATGTGTATGTATACCCCTAAACCTAGCATGTGACTATTGGAGTCTTTACGAATCAAAGGATAGTACCCATCAACACTGACATCTGAAGAAGGAATTGCAGAATTTAAATTTGTTTCACTGAGTGCAAGCAAGTCTGGTGAATTTTGCAGGAGGTAAGACTCAACTGACGCAAAGTTGCTTCGCAGACCGCGAATATTTGTAAAAGATATATTAAAACATTTAGGTGGTGGGGATGGTTTTTTAGGTTTAAAATTTTTGGTTACTTTGGTCATGATTTGGGTTTAATGAAAACTTGACTCATTCATAGATAGACCACAGCCTCCTAATCAATGAGCTATGCAGTTGTCTCAGTCCTGTTAATTAACCCTAAGCCGTGACATAGGGCTCCTTATGTGGCCTTGACAGTGCACACCAAAAACATTAACAGGGACACCATCCATGCCCAACATGGCACTGTTAATACTCTGATATTTTGCAGCTGTTGATAGAACCAGCCTCTATGAGAGCTACCACAGAGTTCGGGAAACCTTACTACCAGCCGGCCTCAGAACCATTAAACTGAGTTTTAGAGCTGTACCCTCATACGGAGATAACATGAAGAGTTACATGGCCATTATCAAGGAGGCATAAGCAAAATTCTATGAGTAGAGTCAAGGAGATCCAGCATTTATCATCCTAGGCAGGAAAAAATGTAACACAGGTTACATCTACGCCAGCCTAATAGATGAAGAAGGGGTTGGAGGCTGGTTAGCAGAATTTTTCTGCTTACCCAGCTACTGTCTTGATAAAGGCCTCCTAAGTCTTTGCCTAGGAGGCCTTCTACAAGACAGTAGCTGGATGCAGTTAACATCTGCCCAAGATGAGTATTTTTATCGAGACACCATCTCTAGCCTTTACTCAACCAAGAGCCCCAAGGCAGGAGATGTTTAGCTGGATGCAGTTAACATCTGCCTAAGATGAGTGTTTTTATCGAGACACCATCTCTAGCCTTTACTCAACTAAGAGCCCCGAGGCAGGGGAATTTTTAGTCGGAGTTTATTTCTCCTAGCCTTTGCCTAAGAAGGGCACACTCTGTAAGGCAGCAGGGCTTGTGGTAGGTGGTACTGGGTTACATGATACCAGTAGCAAGATTGATCTTGATTATCCTGACCTGACCTGGGACCTGGTTATTCTTTACATATAATAAAATTGAATATATATCTGAAAAAAATTATTATTCTACTTGAAGTCCTTAATCGCAAAATGAACAATTTTTTTCTTCAAAGTAGTAAGAAAGCCTTTTTTTCCATTCTGAGGCCTTCCATTGTTGTAAGCATACTTTTTATTTTCTAATCAATTTTTTCTTTTATAAGTTTTTGTTTGGTGATATATTTGTTTTATATCTTTGTTCATATTAGTGTTTATAGAACAATTTATTTTTTATTATTATTGTTAAGTACTGTTTTAGGTGCATTGTCTGTTTTATTTATTTTTAAATATTCCTCTATTAATCTTTATTTTTGTCTTGACAACTGTCAAAATATGTTTTGTTCAAAAAGTAATTCTCCTTTATTCTAATGTACTTCATTTCTTCCTTCAGGCGTTCACTGCTCGTGTGTGACTATTCTGCAAATTTTATATGCCAAAGTTTTTATATAATAAAATTAAATATATATTTGAAAAAAAAAAATTTTCTGCTTGAAGTCCTTGTAAAAACAAATTAACGACGAAGGAAATAAAAATATTACATCATTAATCACATCTCCCTGATGCTTTGATTTCTGGCGTCTGGTATAATGTGAACACCACAGTTATCTAGGGCATAAATCCCACAATTTTTATGTGTAAAAATATTCTGTCTAGTAGTTTTGTCAACATATGTTTGAAATGATAGGAATCTTAAGGTGCCCATTGAAACTTTACATTTTCTAAAGGTGCCCTTTGAAACTTTATGTTGTGGGGAAGATTAAGCTAAACGATCCTGTTTTCGTCTCAATCTAAAAATTATTATAATGAAGTGTTATATATTTTTTGATAGCCTTTTTTTCCTCTTTAAAACAAGTAATTGATATTTTTTTATTTTGAAGAAGAAAAGTTGTGACATCACAGCGTTTATGCAGTGAGGCACAGGTATAAACATTTTTGGCCAAAAAATAAAATTCTGTAAAGTGAATATAATAAATTTCTTATAACATTTACTTCTAAGTGATGTTAGTTAATTTTCCTTACTGAAAATAAAATAATAATAACTTAAAATATGGTAAAAGGGAGATCTTATTTTGACAAATTTTTCAAATATTACACTATCTTTATACTTTTAAGTATTATCTTATTCATTAAAGTTACAGAGATAATCATAAAGCATATTCACAAAGAATATTGAAAACCCTTAAAAATGAAACTTAAATTTAAAATTTAAAAATCAAAATTAAATTTGATTTTTCAATTTTAAATATAACAGGTTTATCCCCAATTTAGATTTTGGTCAATAACACTCAGATTTAAGCTGGTTGTATTAGCTTTTAATTTGTATAGGCAGTGCATTCGACAACTGCTGCATTGGTTTTTCGCAATGGACATTACATACCATTACTTGAGTGGTTATCCGTACATTTAGAAGATATGATTTAACTGGAAAAAACAAATCCAGAAATTGCAAGACTAAATCAGAATGGCATATTTATTGTAAACAAAACAAAGAAAAAGTTTTCTTAAATAAGATTAGACCATGCACATGAGCAAAATAACAAATGCATCAAAGGAGCAACTTTTTTTTTTTTATTACATTAACAATAAAATGTCCATTTAAGAAGCCTATCTGAAAATATGAATTGAATTTTTCATATTCTGAAAATTGATTGAAGTTGTTTTGGTAATAATCTTTTCTTATTTATAAGTGAAACACCAATGCATTAAAAATTCAAAACTTTATTAAGGTGCAATCGGATTGAAGAAAGATTCCTAAGAACTACTCTGCTGGATAATTTGTGATTTAGCTCGATGCGTAAATGAACTTGAATCAAATTTACCATATGCAGAAAATGATGAAGATTTTGTGGAAAAAATTTCAAACATCATAAGCAAAATGTCATAAATTTCAAAATTGGTAATCCATTTAAAAAAGAAAGCCTAGATCTTCTGGTGCTTGATATCCATGATATCAAAGACAAAGAAGTGGTAAATACTGTTAACTCAATTGAGAATTTTGGAGAAAATATATTTAACCATTTTTTCTAAACCAGAATAAAGGAGTGTAAGGAATCTATCTTCAATCTAATAAAATAAGCTAACACTTTTTAGTTACTACTGATGTTGTTGTCATTGGTAAAACTTATTATTTGTAATTTAAATTATCTTCAAGTTAGAAAATATTTCATGTCATGAAAATAATTTTTATTAAAAATCACATAATCATAGTTTTCTAAATTTAGGTTTAGGACTTTTTCGTAAGCTATTACTAATTTAGAAGAATTATGGGTATGGTTTAGTAAGGGCGAAAACCAATGCTTCATTTCACTGCACAATCTTGTAAAATGTCTTGGTCTAAAACAGAAATGTTTAACTTTTTTTCACTCAATAACAGGTTGCAATCAAGTTTTATTTTTTGTTAGAAAAAGGAAAAAATTTTCCTGGAAAACTTAGGGAAATTTTGAAGATCTCACTCACGCCTTGCAAACAATTTCCAATTGTCCCTCAAAGGAAGATATCAGCAGTATTTTCCACTTAATTAAAAAACTTTTTGTGCTACTATATGACCCTACAAGCTTTTACAGTAATGTAAATGAATGCAGAAAAGACTTATTTTCAAAAAAAGGATGTTTACCAGTCACCATACCCCTTTGCAAGATGCTTTGCAGCTGCATATCTCAAGAGCTATTTATCAGGCTTCGTATTGCTGGGCACAATCATTGTGTAAGAATCCATCATTACTTAATCCATGTGAGTGAGGTTGGATTATGGAAAACAGTATTTACGAAATTGTTTGGATTACGATTCCGGAAGATTCCAAAATTGTGCAGTAAACTTATACGATGTGGCTGCAAAATAGAGAAAGGTCTTTGTAAATGTGTAAAAACATTACTTCCACGTACCGCAGCTTGCAAATGTGGCGGTGATAAATTCATAATTTAAAAAAATATTTAAATATAATGGGTTTTAAAGTTTATTTAAAGTTTTAAGGGGTAAGTTTTGATCTACAACATTGTGTTTTTAATTATTTATTAAATATTATAGCATTATTTATAAATTTGTTTTTTTTTAATTTTTATTAAGGTTAAACTATGTCATAAGAGCATTTAATTATAATTGAAAAATACAATTTGGTATAAAAATATTACATTCTACCCCCTGACTTTTAGGTTTTTAAAGCTTTGCCTCTCAATATCTATTTATTTTTAACATACTGTGTTTTTATATATTTTGCTGTGTTTATAATGAGCTTTTAATTGATGCATAAATGACTGTTTTTTAAGGTTTTTTTTGCAACAGACATGATCTGGTTACCATGGAGATAGGTGAAGCTATTTTGGAGTCTTAAAATGATTATTTCAATATAATCAACATGTAGGCCAGGTTTCATGCTTTTACCCCAAATAGCACAAAAACATATAAATTAGTCATCAATTGACTGCACTAAAAGCCACTTCACAAGAAATAAATTAAGTACTAAAAGTAAAATATAAAAATTTAGGACTATAACCATTAAACAAATTTTATTCACCACAATTAAACTTATAAAATTATTTGTTTTTTTGATAGAAACAATTAAATTTTTGATATATTGAATTTTTAACATTAAAATTAATCTTTCAAAAATAAAAATAAATTTTCAAATAATTTTTAAATAAACTTTCAATTAAATCAACATTACAAATTAAATTAACTTATAAAACTATATAAACTTACAAACTAAATAAACTTACAACTAAATCAACATTAAAACTAAAGTGAAAACCAACTCATTAAAGTTACCTTTAGAAGAAAAATCATTTCTCCCTTCCTTATTTTTTGGAGCACGCCTTGGTCTTCTTCTTTTATGCTTAGAAGGTTCTGATACTGAACTGCTTTCAGCAGAAATTGCTCCACAACTTCCACTAAAACTTGAACAATTATCATTTGAAATCTCAGATTGCTGTAATACATCAGTACAGCCTGATGATAAACCAAGAAGTAAACTTTCAACTTTAACCAATCTCATTTCTAAAAGCTCTCTTTTTGCTCTTTCAGTGTTCAGTTGTCTTTGAAAATGATCAGCTACTTTATTTATTAATTTACCTGATGAAATTTCATTTTGCGTAATGCCATTCACATTTTTTAACATGGAGATGTTATTTTGAAGATTTGAAATTAATTGCCTATGATTAGATACTTGATTCATTAAAGTACTTATCTTCTTGCAATCATTACTTCGCTGTTCACAAAGATCTTTTATTTTTTTATTAGCTTTGTTAAGAGCATCAGAAATGCTTAATTGGTCATCATCAAACTTAGTGTTATCCACCATCTTTTTTGAGAAAGATTTTGTTGAATCTTCTACTTCTAACTTTGAAATATTATTTAAACCACCCAACAAAAAATCAAAGTCTTCATCTGTTATTTTTATAGGCTCTTTGTCAATTATATCTTGAACATCATACTGCGCGTTAGACTTTGAAGATAAAATTGGAATAGGTTCATCTTCCAAACTTATTAAACTCATTGTTTATTTTAAACTAAAAAAAAACATTTTGAATGAATAATCAAAGCATTATATATGTTTCCATTTATTTAACTATAAAACATGAAAAATTTACAAAAATATATTATAAACTCACATAAACAAGGTAAGGTGTCACTCATATAGTTAAAAACTAGTCAATGGAGTGACACCTAAAAAAAAAAGAAAAAAAAGAATTTAAAATAAAATAAAGAAAAAAATAAATAGAAAGAAATAAATAAAAAGAAAATAACACACTAATAAATAAAGATAATGTTACTAATTTCAATAATAATATAATAAAAAAAAATAATAATAATAACAATAATAATAATATGAATAAAAAAACATTACAAATAGTAACTATAATATTATAACTTTATTAAAAATTATAACTAATGATAAAAACTATGGTAAAAATAGTTATAGTAAAGTTTATAACTAAGACAGAAATTACTAAAATAAACATAGCATTTGCAAAAATTATGACAATAACCATAAAACTATTACTACAATGGAATCACTATCACTATAATTATAAATAATATTAAAAAGGCTTTTAAAACAAAGATAAATTAATGATAATAGTAATAAAGTTATAAAAAAAATGAATATATAACTTATACTGCTGATTTAGGTGAGCAGTGTGATGTCATACTGAAATAGCCTGCTGCTGGGGGCTTCAGTACATAAATTGACTGACAAATAGCCTAAATTGCAGCAAAATGCTACTACATCGACTTAGGGTGTGGGGAGGCAATCTTTTTATTCATTATTCTTTTTTTTCTTTCTTCTTTTTCTAAAAAAAAACTGTACCGATTAAGAAAAGCAAAAAAAGCAAGTCAATCCTTACATAAATATGCTATAGTAGATATATAAAAAATAGTAGTATTATAGTTTTATAAATACAGTAATGAATACAGAATATTATATTATGTATTGACATATAAACTATGAATGCCTTTTTAAATAACATCTCAGACATCACACTGAAATAGCCTGCCACTGAAGGCTTCAGCACATACATCGACTATAAAGATAGGAAAATCTAGTAACAATTTGTTATCTATATACACTTAATATATATATATATATATATATATATATATATATATATATTTATATATATATATATATATATATATATATATATATATATATATATATATATATATATATATATATATATATGTATATATATATATATATATATATATATATTACGCAATTAAAATTGACCTACCCTAATATATATATATATATATATATATATATATATATATATATATATATATATATATATATATATATATATATTAGGGTAGGTCAATTTTAATTGCGTAATATTGCAGTAGTTGGAGACAAAATATGATTACTATCAAAATTTGAGAGATTTTGGATGAAGATTTGTTTGCAGATGTAATTTTTAAGAGTTGTAGAATTATGCAAAAAAACACTTTAAAAGTGTTATATGCAAAAATTGATGTTTTAAATATGTTCATATTTAAATTGTTTTTAATATGTTTTTAACATGTTTTTTATTTGGATTGTTCAATGATTTAAATTTATAATAATTTATAAAAATTTATAAGAATTTGTTAACTATTTTAAGATTTAAATAGTGAAAGTTTTATTCTTATATTTGCATAAGAATATCAAAATAAACATTATTTTCACAATTTAAAACATTTTAAACAGGGATATACACTTTTAGGAAAATACTTTCAATTCAAAAATAATATCATAAGAATGGGAATAATGCCCTTTTAAAATATATGGTTTTTGCATTTTCCTGCTTAGTAGTTTAGCTAAAATGCAGCTGTGTTGATTCTCAAATCGATAAACATATTGGGATGCTTCCGACACAAGTTTTACTGCTCACTCAACACTCTGGGAGTGAGATAAAAAATAGGGAATTTCAGGTTTAAACATTATTGTCAATCATATATTGGATTTACTCTGTAACTTTTGTAATGCTGATGTCAACCAACTCATACCAATGATCAGCATCAAAATTAATTTCCAGAATTTTTTTGTCAAACTTTCATTCAGTACTCTAAAAATATAAACTGAAGCTAATTATCAAATTTAATGTATCACTTTTTTCAAAACTTTATTTTAATTAACTATAAAAAATAGCCTTGTTTTAGAGCCAGTAGGAATTGAAAACCAATGTTTCGTATCTTGCTGTCATTATTTTATAGCATGGCATAAAGAATATTTTCAGGTTTTAAGCACAATCTATTTTTTTAAATGTTTTTTTTAAATAATTTTAACATCATCAAAGAGAAGATTATTTATTCTGGTAATAGTAGAAAAAATAAGGCCCAGGAATTTGCAAAATTTTGAAGATTTTTTTGTTTCGAACCACGCTGTAGCGTAAACCTGAACAATAGAATATACAATTTTTTTTAAAGAAATGGTTGGTTGATTATCTCTAGTATATAAACAGAGTAGGCAAATAGCTAGAGTAATCCACTTTGCATGGTTAAGTGGTCGAATTTTAGAGGGAGCCCATTTATCAGGAACTTTGCCAAAGCCTATTCCTTTGCAATATTCAAATAAAAGTCTTTGATTGCAACTAAGATCTATTATTATTTCTTCTGTAATATATCCATCTACAATTAGGTTTTCCTGAATATTTTCAGCACATTATTTATAAGTAGACCACTGAAGCTTCTTGGCTCAGTTGTGTCACCATCAAGCCCCTTGTTTCAAGGGCTGCACCTAAGTTTGACGAACACTTATTTCTGATTAGTTCCATAGCAAATCTTAGAAGTTTAACCAAGTTGTATTTTCTAATAGGATTATTTATTGGTTTGCATTCAACTTTTTTTTATTTTTTTTTATTTGCATTCACTCCCAACAAGGCTGCAAGCAACCACTATTAAGTTGGGAGTTACTAGGAAATAAAAGAACAGAGTTATATAGCACAGAAACGGTTGACAGAAGACTTGAAAAGTTGAAGGTTGTATGAGTCAGGAAAACATGAAGATGGGAGAGAGTTCCAAAGGATTGAAGTGCGGGAAAAAAACTAAATGAATAAAAGTTTTTAGAGCAATGTGGGACAGATACAGTAAATGAATTAGACTTAGCTGAATGACGAGTAAAACAAGAATGAATTTTAGTTGATGGAACTAGAGATGATAACTCTTTTGAGCAGTGACCATGATAGTGTTTGTAGAAAAGAGAAAGAGATGCAACTTTACGGTGATGGGAAAGAGGCTCAAGCTTAGCAGATAGTCCAGGTCCAACAACATTTACAATGCGTTTTTGGACCTTGTCAAGAAGAGAAAGTAAATCGTTAGAAGAACCAGCCCAAATATGACAACAGTATTCTATACAGGGACGAATAAGAGATTTGTAGAGGTAGAGAATGGATTCAGAAGTAAGGAAATGGCAAGCACGATAAAGAGTTCACTTCATCTTAAACAAGTTAATACAATAAAATGCTTTCTGTTTCATCTATTGTAATCAGATTGTAAAATTGCTTTTGTTGAATCTATTAAATACCTTGGTCATATAAAAAAAAATGATCAAACCGATGATCTTGGTATAACCAAGGAGGTGAAGCATCTTTACACATGTAAAAATTAGACGCTTTCATTTATACTCTTCCAGAGTTAAGGTTAAATTGTTTAAATAATATTACATTTGTTTATGTGGTGCTCTTCTGTGGCAAAATAATAATGATAAAACAACGGCAAGCCTTCAGTATTGCTTCAAAAAATGTGCTAAAATATTTTTTCTCTCATGCTTTTATAGCACAGATTACATATTACAGATTATATATATATATATATATATATATATATATATATATATATATATTATTACAGATTATATATATATATATATATATATATATATATATATATATTATATATATATATATATATATACATATATATATATTTGCCTATATAAACACCATCTTTTAATACAATTATCTTAAACTACATACATACTTTTTGTAATCAGTTAATGGCTTAATGTACCTAAGTGAATAATTCTATACATCAAATTTTAAAATAATATTTATAACAATAACAATAAATAATAGTATGTATATATATATATATATATATATATATATATATATATATATATATATATATATATATATATATATATATATATATATATATATATATATATATACTCGTTTATATTTTTAAACATGTATATATATATATATATACATGTTTAAAAATTAGTCTTTTTACTTGGGTAAGACTTGACCAAAACTTGAAAATCTCCTCTATTTTGTAAGGCTAGAGAAGGCTACATAAGGCTCTAAACAAACATGTATAGTTATGTCATAAGTATCAAGAACTCTTTTATCAAAAGAGCTTCTACTCCTTTTCTTTTATTGCAGCTGAGAACGTTTTAAAATAACCAAAGTCAATTAAGGAAAAAATAAAAGCTATATATGCAGTAGCTGAAAAAAAAAACTCTATAAATTGTTTTAATTAAAGAAAAATATTTGAAGTTGATTATAAATGACTTTACTTGTGCATTTATAAAAACTTATTCAAAATTACTTTTTTTATAGCTTTTTTAAGCTCACAAATAATATATGTGTACTTAAAAAAGCTATAAAAAAATTCATTCCGTTTGGTAGTTTAATAGTTTGTCAGATTAATTGTGATCTCATTAGCAAGTTAATTTTATCGTTATAAGTTTCCGCTGGGCTAATATATATATATATATATATATATATATATATATATATATATATATATATATATATATATATATATATATATATATATATATATATATATATATATATATATATATATATATATATATATATATATATATATATATATATATATATATATATATATATATATATATATATATATATATATATATATATATATATATATAATATATATATATATATACAATACGTACATAAAATACATAAAAACATACTATAGTATTTTAAAAATGATACAGTTTGTCAATTTTTGTTACATTAAAAGTAACGGACTACATAAACCATGT